ATATATATTATATATATATATATATATATATATATATATATATATATATATATATATATATATATATATATATACATACATCGATTTATTTTAAAATTTAGTACTGTTTACGGCATCATTTATTATAAATGAAAATCACAGTTCCGTAGCAGAAAATAATATAATTTTGCTAACACCACTGTAATAATCAATGCTCACCTACAATAACCCTCAGAGACATGCAAATGACCCCTTTAATGACAAGCGCACATTGCAATAAGATAATCATTCTCAACAATAAACGGAAGGACCTCATCCATTTAGAAAACTGTAGCACAATGGCACACTGATACAAGAAGCCTTGTCGTAAAACGAGTAAACACGCAGCTGAAAACTAAAACCAAATACACTAAAATCAAGTCTTTAAACTTCTCGACAAAGATAATCTTAAAAATACACATAAAAAACGACAGTAATAATGTAACCACACATAAACCACGTAGGATAAAAAAAAGTAACTCTGAATTCATCATAGCCAGAACACAGACAGAAATCTTAGACAGGCTGTAAAACAAATATTAAAATCATAATTATTTCCCCTTGCTTACCTCGATGCTAGGGAAATCTCCATCCTCCTCCCCGTAAGGCGGATCATAGTCTGGGGGAACTTTACCATCAGGATGCATACCTGCGGGGAGATTGTAGGGGGAATTACCTTCAGGGACAGTAAAGGAGGAGAAAATAACAGTTTAGAAGCGTGTCTATCGTTTCCCGACCCTGTTCGTACATAAAACGAGAAAAATATTGGCTTATAGATGGAAATCTATTCTCCCCGCTGGCTTGGGAAAATATACAATAATGACTTAATAAATGAACTGGAATATGTATATTTATTTGTTGGAATATGCGAGAAAAATTTTTACTGGGGGGGATGAAAATATGAATTTCAGTTAGATTCTGTAAACAAAGGTAATAATATTGCTGGTGGAGGAAGGAAGTCTTGTATACAGTAGTTGCTTCTTACTAAGCATGATGAGGATATCGTGATTTTTTTTCTAGTTTCTGTTACATATAGCAGACAGGCACCTTACCCCTTTAACACTGAGAGATCAAATAAGTGAAAGTAGATGTGTGTATTAGACTTTCCGATCATCACTGGCCTCTGGATCCATATGGCTTATTGCCAGCAATAGCGAAGAAAATATACAGAATGCGAAACAAGCATTTAATGGGACTATGTTTCGCTCAACACAAAGCGAAAAGTCTCAGTAAAATGTTGTTCTGCACCGTGAATCTTTTCTTCGCCGGCTTTCAGTCACTTCTGACACTTCCTGGTCGTTCTTGGGCTTCAAGGTAATGTTTGGTTCTCAAGTCCGTCATATCTAGCAGTGCAAACTGGCGTACCACAATATCGTGAAGGTATAAAATTTGTGAAAATAAAGGGGATGGGGGGTTATAGACCTGAATTTCCTGACGGGATTTCGAGCCTTCGTAACTTTCGATGTCACACACACACACACACACACACACACACACACACACACACACACACACACACACACACACAAATTGAGTCGTTACCACCAGGGTCATTTGGACTGAGCTGATTTTGTTTAGTCAGTAAGCAAACTGATACAATTACCAGTTCCACAAGCTAACTGAAGCACTCCCTGCTAAAACAGTAAGAGTCAATCGTAAAAAAAAGTACCGAGTGTTATTTTGCTGCTGGTAAAAATGTGTGAAAATCCAACACTCGTTATGACCGAGAGCTGAGGTAAGGACCTAAGTGTGGGACTTCTTACACAAAGTTGAGAATGTCATTAATGTGGGTCTTCTTACACAAAGTTGAGAATATCATCAATGTTGGGCTTCTTACACAAAGTTGAGAATGTCATTAATGTGGGTCTTCTTACACAAAGTTGAGAATATCATCAATGTGGGTCTTCTTACACAAAGTTGAGAATGTCATTAATGTGGGTCTTCTTACACACAGTTGAGAATGTCACCAATGTAGGTCTTCTTACACAAAGTTGAGAATGTCATCAATGTGGGTCTTCTTACACAAAGTTGAGAATATCATCAATGTGTGTCTTCTTACACAAAGTCGAGAATATCATCAATGTGTGTCTTCTTACACAAAGTTGAGAATGTCATCAATGTGACTCTTCTTACACAAAGTCGAGAATATCATCAATGTGTGTCTTCTTACACAAAGTTGAGAATGTCATCAATGTAGGTCTTCTTACACAAAGTTGAGAATGTCATCAATGTGTGTCTTCTTACACAAAGTTGAGAATATCATCAATGTGTGTCTTCTTACACAAAGTTGAGAGTATCATCAATGTGTGTCTTCTTACACAAAGTCGAGAATGTCATCATTTCCAAGACAGATTTACCTTCAGTCTCACCGTCATTAGAAAAAGAAGAAAGTGCTTATGTCGTACAAAAATTAAATTTATTTTCGGCTGGTGTAGTGCTTGCAGCCTTTTTACAGGAAAAACCTCAAGTGTTCATTAGATCT